TGAGTCTCAACAACGACTGACTGTAGAAATGATAAAACGGAGCCACAGGTTTAGAATAATTGAAGTACGAAATAGATATCAAGATTGTCCTGGATAGTAAAAAAGAATATCATATTCACTGGTCGGATCCGCATTATTAAATTCCCGATTCCTGCTCCGATGCACCTGGTTCAACAGTTTCACTGATGCGACACAGAACAAGGATATATTTATAAAAAAGCGTGGGTAGCACGCTTGCGTTCTGCCCATGAAGTCCCGGGTTCGATCCCCAGTGGGGTCGATGGATTCGCACTGCTGATGAGACCCAAACAGGTCGAAACAGCTGTCCAGTGCTTCCTAGCTTTTCAGTTCACGTTTCGTTTGCCATATACACGACGAATAACCTTCGAAAAAGAAGAACGTTGTATGATTTGCTCGGGGGTACGATACTGCACGGTTGCTTAAGCCAAAGTAGGTGAATCTTCTTTCAGAGTTCACAACCGGAGTCTTCGGTTAGCCAAAGCCTGGACCTGCAAGGCAGCGAGCGAGGTGGTGTGTGAAAACCGTAATCCAATGGAGGCCAGTGTCCACTTCGTCGAATCATACACCCTTTGAACAGAGTCAAAGGTCCAAGGAGCCCAATACGTGCCGGCAACCAATGCCACAACCAGAAGTGTGTGAGTGGGTGTGTGGTTCGTACGCTTCTTCTTGGTTGGTTTGGAATCACGGGTTTTAGCCAACTGCCCTAGGTGAACTGAAAGTGGTTTNGAAAAGGGGGGGGGGGGTCTTCCTCAGCAGAGGCTATTTGAGACGCCTGGTCGTATGGGAGCATTTTGCAAAGTGCAAGGGCTGGCCAACCGCAACCCGAGCAATCCAGAACAAACGCGATCCATATTGTCGGTCTCAACTTGGAACGGATCTGGGCCGGGTGTTTCTTTTGTTTGAAATCGCCTGTGAGTACAAACTCTGTCTGTGTACTCTGTGCACGTACTATTAAGTTTTCANAGAGAATAAAAGTTGTCACAGTTGTTAAATTTAAATTGCTTCCAACGCATGTACAAAACAGATACCATATCCTTTTCGCTGTCACATAGTTGCAATTGTTTCGGTTTATCTAAACAACTTCGCACGCACTTCGTGCTGCTGTGGTTGTTGTTATTGTATAAACTGCAGAACGGTGCTTTCCGGTCCACATGACAATTTGTTGCAAACATCACACTGCCGATTGTGACCAGGATGTGTTGTTACTTGATCGTCGGTACTTTTCGTCAAAACCGATTCATAATGTGGTCGGTCCTTTGTCCATTCTGTATGATCGTTATTTGTTTGTGTTAAACATAGAGTAGTTTTGTATCTAAGATAAAGTCATAAGAATCGGATGCAGCGGATATTAATAGACTTGTTACCCCGACGATTAAACTGTTCACCTATTCCACGGGATCGAGAAAAAAACGGTAAGAGTCCGGGTGTTGGGGATTCGAAGAAAATAGTTTGGGGCTAACGAACGGTGTATGTATAGTTAGCTCTACAATGTTAAATCTTGGGCAGGCTTATCTGTGTTTCTGTTCATAGATTATGTAATTATCATTGGTGGGGTGTGGTGATGATCAGACGGTTTGAGTCACTGTCACCAGTTTGCTTTAGGCTCTAACAGTCGAGGTTCCTCGACCTCTGTGACACACGATCACATAAGCCGCCTCGCAGTCATCATCGCCCCGATACTAGCTGAGCCTGACGTGGTTCAGAACGTTCACTCCTTGGACTTGGGTTGCCAGTTTCCATGTGTGGTCTCAATCATGACAGATACGGTGCCCAAATAATCACGGGTTGAAGCAGAAATACAGGAACAGAACAAAAACGATCTGTTTTGGGCTCCACTTGGCTATATTGTGTTCACCCTGTCTACTGTTTCTCACGTCAGCTGTTCAGTTCATAGTGAAAGGTTGATTCTGTGCGCCTCACTCCAAGCCTTCGGCTGACAAGTCTATAAAGCGGTTTGAAATTTGCCATCTTTGGGTTGTATATTATACCCTTATTTAATATCCGTAGGTCCATGCCTCCAATTTCGGTGCATCAATTAAATCCGAAGGTAAAATCGATTATTCGTTGTTTAGGGATTCTCAGTCCAATGTAATCAGCTAGTTACTCGTTCATCGAGTCTGTTTGAGCCATAACTAGTGATCTATTACTCTCGGATTTCAGTGAATGCACTCTGTTCTCGTGGAGCTATTCAATTTTCATGTCATTGCCACCCCCACCCACCCCTAAACAGATCAAACGCTAACCATGTGCAAGGAGAATGAAATAATTACAAACGCAACAGAGAGAATGCTTGTTTGTATTGTCACTCTCGTGGACTGTTGTGCTACTCGATCAGGGAAGTCAAATGAAGTGGTTAATTTGGTCAGTAGTCAAGTACATAGGTTGGGGTCCCGAGATTTGAACCCGGCCACCACCACCGCCGCCAAACTTTGATGGTAGCTAGCTTTTGTTATTGTTACCCTGCTCAGTACCATGCTTGTACGAGTGGACTCAGATCTTATCGGGTTTTATGAGTGAACTGTTAGTCCTCGAGGTCCTCTGATCGCTTAACACGTAGTAATAGGCAAAGGAATTACCTAATGTATCCAGTAACTTTTCATTCAATAGTCGTGGGTCAGTGTGTACACATAATAACAGGGGTGTAGTTCGAGTTTTTCTGCGAACTCTCACGTAGCCTAGAAAAGTGTATGTAAGAAGCAGACTGAACCGCAAACCGATGGACTTGCATGAACCACATAAGACAAAAATAGGTCTCCGTGGCGTCACTAGCACTGTATCCACACACACACACACACACACATCGGCCGCGGTAAAGTAAGTAAGTATGAAGGTATGTACTGGTTACATTGTCCCAGAGCAGTATTATTTTACAATTTGACATTTGGATTTTTTCAGGTGTACCAAATCAATTGAGTGACTAAAGTGCGAGAGAGAGAGGGATGGGGTACTATTCATCGACCCGTTCGTTATACAGTACTGAGTGGCGCAGGATTCTCCGTTTGCATCACTACCTTAAATCTTGAACACTTGGCGGGTACCTCACAACGGTCGGGTACAGGACGCTTATCCCTTGTTTGAACAAGGGTTTAGAATCAAATCAAGGTTTTTGAAATGAAAATGGGTTGATGTTTCACTTGTGTTGGTTTCAATTAACAAAAATCGAGACTCTTTGGATAACCGCTTGTGTTGTCTGAGTTTCCTGTCCCTGTCGGTAATGCATACATCCAATGAATAAACTGTCGCGATTCTAGAACAACTCGATCAGCATGTCATTTCATGTCCGTCTATATCACCTACTTCTCTTTGATAGCCCATTACGACAAGCGCAACTGGTGTCCAGAACAATGTGATCGAAGTGAAAGAATCCGATTTCGATGTTCTGACAGCGTTGTCCTATGATATGGCTAGTTCCCGCAGTGGTGCCACTCCTGAGGATAATCCTAACGGAACAGGGAATACACCGGGCACACCACAACGAGGAGAATCGACCGGACATGAGAACGTCATTACCTCAGAAGCAGACACTGCGTTCCTGTCAGGTGGGGGCGGTGGTTCGCCTCCAGGTGACTACGGTCGAGTAATCCCAGCCAGTCCTCAGGCCGCGATGCACTTACAGACTGGGAACGCTTCAGGTGTTTCGCCTAGCACTAATTCCCATCTACATTCGTCTGGTGATTCAAAGAAACCACCTGCACCTCCCCTGCTACCCCCTCAACTGCTTCAGGTAAGCGGGTTCTGCAATATTCCTTTCGGTTTTAGCAGATATATATATATATATATTTGGATGTATATATTATCAGAGGTCTTCAGATATATGTCTTATGAGCAAATAGCCGATGCAGATTTCGTGGTTATGGTGCATTTACCCTGAGTTTATCACGAAGAGATGCAACGTTCACCAACCATGTCGTCTTCTCTCCCTTGTCTTCAAATTTATGATGGGAATCCTTCCAGGACATTTCCTTCCTCGTCCACGAACATGGCTTTCACAGTAATGCGAAACGTCTTGTTTCTGTCGCATCATCATCAGTCCGACTTTGTTTTTCATAGCCTTTTTTTCGGGATG